GACTCTCACTGGGATTAAACATGACAATAGGTCTGCTCTGATTTCATCATCATTTAAAAAAAATCATCTATTATTTTTCACTTTATGTTTCTGTGTGGGAGCAAACTGTTGAAATCCATACTTAATGTATACTAAGCTGATCTTCTGTATATTAAGATAATCGAAAATGAATCTTGATGTGAATGGAAGGGGAGAGGGAGTGGGAAAGGGGAGGGTTGTGGGTGGGAGGGACGGTATGGGGGGGGAAGCCATTGTAACACATGAGTCGTACTTTGGAAATTTATATTCATTAAATAAAAGATTAAAAAAAAAAAAAAAAGAGTCGGTGCGAGAGCCCAGGTTAGAGATGAGACTCAAGGTTAGAGAAGATGAGACTCAAGCGAGAATGACAATAAGAAAGAAGAGGAAGGGTTGATGAAGAATTTATGGGGCCTGGTAACCCCAAGCCATCCCTCAGATTGCTTTGCAGACTGTGATCAATCCATCTGCATGATCAATACTGCACACCAGGATCTCATCCAGCCTTGAGCTAGGAAACAGCCCCCATGATCTGTGAGGTGAGATGCATTTGGCCCTGAAACTCCCTTCCCCAAATACCTCCCTTCACCTGGCCTCTTCTGATCCCAAATGCTCAGTATGTCCCAAGACTTTCAATTGCTTTAAATACTAGATAGGAAATTCCTGGGAGGAGTGATCCATCACCAATTCGGGCAAATCAGAGGACACCAAGTCCACAGCAGCACTTATCCAAAGAGAACTAGAGGAGGAGCAAAGGAGTGGGATGGCCAGTCCTCACCTGTGACACTGGTGGAATTCCTCTCTCCATGCTCTCGTGGGCCCCTCCTACAGAAGAGGAATGACTGATCAGATTAATGAATACAAAGACGTTTATCCATTGTGCCATGTTTCCCAGGACAGGGCTGTTTCTGTCCATTCTTCCCTCTATTCTCTCTCCTTTTGGACATGCATACTCTCAATCAGAGCTTACTTCTCTATATCCTCTGTGAGGTCAGTCCATGGGACAGCTACCTGCCCAGAGCAGGACAAAAGGACCTCTGCTCTCTTGACCTTCTCAGCCTGTATCTGTTTGATGAAACTCAGCCAGCCCAGCACCAAAGACCTAGGGAGAGGGAAAGCTTAATGTTCCCTGGACTGGATGGCACCAGTGGCTCCAGTTCTCTACCCCTTCCTGCATCTATGTCCTCTGTGTGTACCTTGGCTTACTATCCACTAAAGACAAAAGATGCTCATATTTTTCTGCCCCACTGAGGCTGGACTTGCCCATGGGATTTGTTTTGGCTGAAGGAACATGGGTAGAAGTGACAAAGTGCCAGATTCAAGCCTTGATGCTGGGAGACTCAGGTGTTTCCTCTCAAATGCTTCTGCTCTGCTCCAGCCATTGCCATGAGGAGAGCAGGCCCCAGTCGGCCTCCTTGTCCTTGGAGAAGCAGGTCAGCCAACCTGAAGCATGGATTCAAGCCCAGTCTAGATCAGCTTGTCTGCAGATAGATGAGCGATGATAAATGACTGTGCTCTACCAGTTTTAGAGTGGCTTGTTATGTAGCATATTATGGCAAGTGCTAGATGATACATGGCTCTCGCCCTCTGTTCTGCAGGTCCGTCGAAACAGGCATTATTTTGGGTTGCAGTGCTGATATCTTGACCAATCTGGGTGAATTCTTGTTGTTTTCACTCCTTCAGTCAGACCCCCAGGAGGACATGGGGGGAGATGCTGGGGGAGATTTCAAACAAGGGGACAAGTTTAAGGGTCCCTGTCTGGGGCGACAACGTCTCTCCTGGGCCTGGGTAGGTTTGATTTATGACTTTCATCCCAATATAATTAATTGTATTACTCTTCTCCCTAAAATGTTTGGATGAATAAGTAACAGTGACTCCAGTCAAACTCAACAGGATCTGACATGAAACATGTCTGCATTATAATAACTACAGGCATCGCTTTATAGTCAGTAGATAAATACAGGATTTTTTTAAAGCCACATTTCGGAAGGCAGGAGGCCTGGACAATGATGCCCATGAGAGCAGTTGAGGTTAAAAAAATCACTCTTTTCCTAAATGTAGTCTATCTGTATAAGGTTTTATAAAAGTGCTACAGGGTATTTTCTGAGAAATAAACTCCTTAATATGACTTCATAGTAAGAGTTCTATTTCCTTTATTCTCAGGAGTCCTAAGAAAGAAAAATATGCCCCCTGGCAGTGTTCCATAAAACTAATGATGTGGGGGAATATGTGAATAATTGCCTGAATCGCCAGGTTATGTCTCTGTTAGGAAACCTCTTGGCAATATTAGGAAGAGACTCAGGACAGTCAAATTGGAGTCAAGTGAAATAAACTCTTGCTGCATCAGCTCAACAATCCTGGGGGTCAAGGGAACTATGGAAGCCATTTCTACATTTGAGCCTCCAACTATTCTGGGTTCACAGCAACAGAGACTCAGGACAAGGGGTGGAAACGGGGAATGAACAGGGATGGGCAAGATATTGCTAAGGCAAATGCAGGTGAGACACAGCAACCCATGGAGGGCGGTACCTGGGTCATGGCTGTTGGCTACACATCTGAAAGTCAAAGACTGGTGCCCCGAGCTTTAGTTCTAAGTGGCAGAGGGGCCAAATGTGGCATCTGGAGGGTGTACGTGGGGTCTTGTCTAACAGACATCTTCTGCACTGGAGATACTGTGTAGGCTTCTTGCTGATCAGGAATCAGTATCCAATCATAGGCAACGCAAAGGTCTGGGGGGACAGTAAAGAGGAGAAAATACATGATTTTTACAAATTGCCAATTCAAAGAATGGCATGACTTAGCCTAGCTTCATTCCAGTGTGTGATTCAGAGAACTTAATTTCCTGAACCATGGTACCTGATGTTGTTTGAAGAAAACACCACAACATAATTTCATCACCAATTGAAGAGGAGGACTGGGGATCTGGAATGCTTAACAAACATTTGGTGTGTGCATTAATGTATTCTATCAGTATTTGTCAAGGTCTATTTCTGTGCCAGATACTGTGCCTTTGTCACTGGAACCATGGCACCTGCCCTCATGGAGCCAAGTTATACACTGGTCATTTGAAGAGCTTTAATTAAATACTACCCTCTATTGTTGCCTCTCACTCACCCCCAACCCTCCCCGTGATGAGGTGTGGGGAGGCGGTGGAAACAAGAGGTTAGGCCAGTGTGAGGCCATTAGGGGATGCTAATACGGCTCTCTCAGGAACCCTATTAGTTCCTGCGAGAGTGAGTTGTTACAAAAAAGAACAAATCCCTCTGCTCTCCTGTCTCACTCCACAATCCCTCCTGCACAGCTCCCGCCATCATGATCCAACCACCTCCAGGCCCTCACCAGAGGCTGAGCAGATGAGACCAGCCTATCTTAAACTTGCAGCTGCCAAAGCTGTGAGGCTGGCTAACACCCCTCCCATGTGTGAAAGGTCAGAAAAGACAGCCTAGTTCAATCTTAATTGTGAATGACTTTCCAATGCCTCGTTCACTTCCTGCCACAAAGCAGACTTGGGGAAAACAATTTTTGAATGTTGATAAATGAGGACATCTGCTATTCATTCAACACATATTAACAGAGGGCTTGTGTCAGGTACAGTTCTCGGTGTGTAGGATATGTCAGTAAAACACACACACACACACACACATACACACACACACACACAACAACAACCACCACCTCCGTCCAGGGGGTGCTTACTTTCCAGGTGGAGCAACACATTTATTTATGTCTTCAACAAACATTTATTGGGCAAAGACTCACAGCACACATGAAAAAGATGAGGTGGCCTGGCCAAACATGTTCATGGCAAATTAGTGCTGAAATTATTTTATTTGTTTTTGGCTTCTAGTTCGGTGAAGACTATGTCATTGTTCCAGTGTTGTCATCCTGGGAGTTTCCAGGGTCCCTTTTCTGCTCAGTGCTTCTGTCTCACTGTTCACCACTGAACAGAAAGAGTAGCACACAATGTTTGTGCTCCACCCGGGCCTACGGAATACATAAATGGGCCAATATTTCCTAGAGCTCACTCAACAAAACGTGGAAACAAGTAAGAAGATAAGCCTTAGGAGGAGCGCTCTTTCAAAGCAAAAGAGAGGAGAAAGAAGCAATTTTTCAAACAGCCCTTCAAAAGAAGTTGGGTGCGGAGGGTAAAACATTTGCAAAATGCGGAGAAGCAGGAGTTGTGGCTGATCTTGATCCACTACAGAGACCCGAGAAAATGGCCGCCTGTCTCAGGCTTTCATACAAGGTGATTGACATCATGCCTAATTTTTATGTCTCATTACAGGAGGAAAAAGCAGCACGTTTTTTTCTATTCTCTATTTGCCTTAAAGTTCTGAGGGTAATAAACCTCTTAGTTTGATCCTGAATTAGCTTATGCTTCTTTCTATCTATTTCCTTTATAAAAAAAAATCAATACCAGGTCTGTGCCACCTTGAATGGAGAGGAGAGCTCTGACTGGGTGTTGTCTTTGCTACTGGGACAATCCGTCAATCTGGATCATCTCGGGGGCCCCAAGTGTGGCAGAGCCATAGTCAGTTTTCAGCAGTAAGTGTTAAGTTATTCCAAGAGTTAAAGTTTTATGAAAAATCTAAGTGTGTCAAGCTACACTTGACAAAAGGCAGTGCTTCTTTTGCAAAAACCGTGGGCTGTGGGTCCAGTCTCCCATCATCTTGGAAACTCTGTGCCCAGCCAGCCACTGCCCGCTGGCCTGGCCCAGCTCCTGCCCCCACCGAGCTTCGGGAAGTGACTGCGGCAGTTCCCAGGCAGTCTGACCAGAGGCAGAGGCCCCTGGTAACCTTAACCCCACGTGGGCAGGCTCTCCTCAGAGGCTCTGTGCAACCCTGAAATTAACCGACAAGTTTCTGCAAGGGGAGGTGGACAGACAAGTGTGGGGGCTGTGTTTGCTACTCAGAGCCCAGAGGACACGAGTGCCTGAAAACTGGCTCCCCAGGCCTGGCAAGCAGCGACCCTTGAATGCAGCTGGCAGTGGCCCCAGTCTGCAAGGCAGGCTTCTTAAGAGCCAGAACAGGTATATAGCATCCTTCTCACTCTGCTGTGCACAGGCGTCACCGTCACCGGGGAGGGAAGAGGGCAGAGTCGGCAAGTGACTGAAGCCGGGCTCTGGTGAGGTCACAGGTGCAAATCTCACTCACAGTCCCCATGCACCTCATCGTGTTCAGGGGGACCAAACAACGTGCCCCAGTTTAACCTCCGCAAAGCTTGTATGACATGTGCATTTTTCTTTCTGTTGTATAGATAAGGAAGTCAAGAGTTCAGAGAAGTTAACTAAATTCCCAAGTCCACACAGCTAAATGGCTTAGACTCACATCCTATCTGTTGTAGGTTTCATGCTGTCTTTACTGTGCCAAACCGCACAAGCAAGGACAGTCAGATGTACTGAAGAGCATGGGCTCTACAGCCACACGACCTGGGGTTGAGAGCTGACTGTGCCGCTTCCTGTCTGTGTGACTTTGGGCAAGCTTCTTACCCTCTCTGTCTCAGTTTTCTCATCTGTAGAAGAGGAACCTTCACCGTACCTTCAGTGCTGTGTGAACAGGAGAATTTAAATGTGTTAATGTTTGTCAGGTACTTAGAAAACCATCTGGGACATAATGAAGACGTTATACACATACTAAAACTGTACGTTCTAAATTGTTAAATAAATAAGCCAAGAGCTCACTTTCCAATCGCTCAATTCAGAACACGACTTACAGTTCCCTCACGTCGCAGTGTCCGCAAAGTGCTTTGGCTGCAGTGGCCCCGTCGGCAGTCACAGCAGCTGTCCAGAAAAGAAAGGGATATTAGAACCACATAACAGAAAGATACACTGAGACCGGACAACGTGAGAACCTCTCCAAGGTCATTTAGCCGGTGAATAACCAGTGAGGTCTCCAACTTGGTCTTCCTCACCCAAATCCGTGCCATGCACACACTCTGAACTTCATGAGCTCCCGGACTGCGTATGCTGCAAGGAGTTTCCCCAGCCCTCCACAGAAGCCACGACTCCCGGTTCCAAACTCTGCTGTGCACTGCCAGTAGATCTTGCCTCTGCATTCAGGAGACAGAGGATTCTCAGGTTGACACACTCATGGCCACTCTGAAGCAAAGATGACAGGCTTTTGTCTTTTTGCACACGCCCATGCCCCAGATGGAAACTTTAAGAGCATCAGTGACTTATGCAAAAGTCACATGAGTTCAAAGAGCAGGGAACTGCATCAAGAGGCTTCATTTCTAGTTAATTCTATGAACCTTCTATGTGTTGCTCAATAGGAGTGTTCAACATCATGGTTCCCTGTTTTTTTTTGTTTTGTTTTGTGCAACCAGTGATCAAAATTCTAGGGAAGTTGGGGTAGGACAAGTGGGGGACGGGGGAAAGAAAAAGAAGCAAAATGTGCTCAGTTCAGTTTGGAGAAGAGGAGAGGAAGCTGGAAGCAGGTGGAGAAAAAGTGAGGAAGGCGGAAGCATCACAAGGAAGGAAGTGGGACCGCATGTGAGAGGTGAGTGGGGAAACTGGGACCCAACAGAAGGGCCTGGGGGCAGGGGAAAGCAGGATGGAGGGCCTTGGGAAGAACTGAGGACCAGTGTCTCTGGGGACGTGGAAAAGCAGCTGGTAGCAGTGTTCACGGATGCTCCACTGAAAAAAGCACTACTGGGGCTCAGGGACCAACGCTGGCGTCTCAGTGTGGGTGATGGTCTCAGATTAAGGTGTGCTCTCTCCGGGAGTCACACCATTCTTGTGATGGAGAAACCGGCCAGCCGGCGCCGCAGCTCACTAGGCTAATCCTCCGCCTAGCGGCGCCGGCACACCAGGTTCTAGTCCCTGTCAGGGCGCCGGATTCTGTCCCAGTTGCCCCTCTTCCAGGCCAGCTCTCTGCTGTGGCCAGGGAGTGCAGTGGAGGATGGCCCAGGTGCTTGGGCCCTGCACCCCATGGGAGACCAGGAAAAGCACCGGGCTCCTGGCTCCTGCCATCGGATCAGCGCAGTGCGCCGGCCGCAGTGCGCCGGCCGCGGCGGCCATTGGAGGGTGAACCAACGGCAAAGGAAGACCTTTCTCTCTGTCTCTCTCTCTCACTGTCCACTCTACCTGTAAAAAAAAAAAAAAAAAAAAAAAGAAACCAGCCAACAGGTGTGTGCACTCCAGAGCCCACCCTGGGCCTTGACAAGCCCAGCGTCCGCACCACCAGCTGATTCTGCTCCCCCTGCCACCCCTAGAGGCGGTGGCAAGCCCCAAGTTCTCCCAAGGAGGGTCAGGACAGGCTATGTGAGCAAGTCTGCCTCTCGAGGCGTTGACAAAATAAATGCCCACATTTTAAATGCTTGCATTCTACAATTTTCTGATTATAAAATCAATACAGACTTATTTGAAAAGAACTTGGAATCTGCTGGTATACATACATACTTTCTTTCCCAGTGAATCAAAGGATTTATTATCACTGGACTCATCTGGGAGGATCATAGATGGGGAGCAAGCGTTTTTGATAGTGTCTCTGTACTTGTTTGTGCTATTTTGAGTTGAGAACCAGGGTCATGTGGCCCTGTGTGTGTGCGTGTGTGTGTGTGTGTGTTTGTGTATGTTTCAAAAAGAAACTGATGGCCGGTGCTCTGGCTCACTTGGTTACGCTCTGGCTCACTTGGTTAATCTTCCGCCTGTGGCACTGGCATCCCATATGGGCGGCGGATTCTAGTCCCGGTTACTCCTCTTCCAGGCCAGCTCTCTGCTGTGGCCCAGGAGGGCAGTGGAGGATGGCCCAAGTGCTTGGGCCCTGCATCCCATGGGAGACCAGAAGAAGCAGCTGGCTGTTGGCTTTGTATCAGCACAGCACCGGCCATGGCGGCCATTTGGGGAGTGAACCAATGGAAGGAAAACCTTTCTTTCTGTCTCTCTCTCTCTCTCACTGTCTGTAACTCTACCTGTCAAATAAATATATATATTAAAAAAAGAAAAAAAAAACTGAGATGTGGAATGTGAGATTTGGGGCCACATTTTTTGCCTTGTTTTGTTGTCATCTACCTACTTCTCTATATTGAGAACAAGAGGAAAGACCTAAGTTAATCATAATCAACTTTAAATAATTTGAAAAGAAAAAAATTAAACTCAACAGCAACCATACCATCCAGACATGAACACTGTTATCATTTTAGTGCGTGTCCTTGGGGCTTAAATAATGAGGATGATGCTCTATCTAAACTCTAAATTGTTTTGTATTTGTCTTTAGTTTTTACTCTATATCATGCATACTTTCACTTATCATTAAATAGTCTTCAGAAGCTAATAGCTATGTAAATGCCTTTCTAGAACATAATTTGTCAAGTCTATAAAAGCTCATGTTCACTGAGTGCCTCGCAGGTACTCCTGCCCTGCACAGCTTCCGTGGTGAGGATTAGGTGGGAAGACACACACACAGCGCTTAGCCCCTTGACAGATGTGCAACCCCATGGATTGGTGCCAGAGGCACTGGGCTTAAGCACCTGACCTCCAGATGTAGCATGATTTCATCAGCCAACATTTTGCAGATTGTTTATATTTGTCCCACTTTGTTACTGCTGCATAATGATGTGAGGAACATCTTTGTCCATAAATCTTTATGTTTCAGAATATGTCCATAGAGAACACTCTTCGTGAAAGAACTGTTTGACTCATAGGAACAAAAAGTTTTAAGGCTCTCGATACATTTCCCTAAGTGACCCACTTAACACTTTCACAACAGGGCTTGAGAGAGTGAAAAATAGATCTCATATTTTTACTTTTTGTTTTACTTTATTACAGTTGAAGTGACTTTCCATTTTTTAGCCATTTGCTTTTCTTACTAGCTAATTCAGTTTCACAATAACTCACCTTATTGACAATAATAAATTTGATGTTCCTTTGACATAGGGATGATAAATCTCTTGTAAAATCAACATGTTAGAACAGCAATTTTGTCTAGTGGTTAAGAATCCGGTTAGGATGCCCACATCCCACAGAGTGTCTAGTTTCAAGCTTCCACTCTGGCACCTTCCTGCCAATTGAGACCCTAGGGAGCAGCAGAGATGGCTCAAGTGGTTGGGTCCTGCCACCCACATGGGAGACCTGCATTGAGTTCCCATCTTGACTTCAACCTCCCACCATTGCAAGCATTTGGGAAACGAACAAATCCACCGAGAAGCACTCTCTCTCCCTCTCAAATAAACAAAGGGTTTTTTTGTTGTTGTTGTTTTGTTTAAATCAACATTTTCTGGAGACCTGAGTGAACTGGTATTTTCTAGAATGCAGGTGCACTGTTTCAGTGAGGGTCCCGCAAGGAAACAGATGGTGGAGTAAATGTGCATAATCAAGAAGTGTTCGTTAAAAGGAATGTTTACAAGAGTGTGCACCTCAAAGGACTGATGCGCCTTCCTGGCCCTCCCAACAGTGAGGCACCACTGTCTCTCCTCAGCTTTCAGGAGGAGCAAGGAGCTGCAGGGGCAGGAAGAAGGCAGCCACGGTTGAGGAGAGGACCACTGGGCGGCTCAGGAGCTGTGCCAGATGGCCGCAGCCAACCTTTGGAAGGGGGTGTCCTCTTCTCTCTGTTATCTCTTCCTCCACAGGGAAGGGGGCAATGCCAGGCCATCTCCCTTGAGACTAGCGGTAAAGCGATAGACTCCCAGAGGGAGCCTCAAATTAGCGGAGAAGGAAGCCACTGACCCCTTATTTAGTGCAACAAAGTCATCCATCCATACAGACAGGCTCCCAGGGCCAGAGTGCTCTATCTCATTGGCTTGGCCTCGTCTGTGCATTGCCTTCCTTTGGGGCCCTCGAAGGGTGGGTGGGACTCAGTTCTTCAGTGTCGTCTGTAGTAAAATCCTCGGGGAGGGCCAGTCCCCCATCTCGGCATGCCCCTCGAGTCACCTCCAAATGTCATCCATCTCCGATCACAGAGACCCCAAGGGGCTGGCGCAGCAACTCCACCTGCTCTGAACCTGCTCCTCCTGGTGGGCCAGAGGCTCCTGTGCGTCTGCAGAGGGAGCCTGCCAGAAATCACCACACTTCACCCCAGGCGTCTGTACCCCGTCTCTTCTGCATGCTGAAAGGCAGCCCTGTGGAATAACAAGGGCTCGCACTTGGTGGGTCTTAACAATCCAGCGATGGAGACACTGAGTTTAGTCCCATTTTACAGATGAGAAAACAGGGTCCAAACAGGTTAGAACTTGCTCCCATTCATCCTGGTGACGTGTGAGGGACAGCTAGACCCCAAATCCTCCACACGTGGCCGTTGTAGTGCCTCACTCCAGAGACAACCGTAGGACTGCATCCACGCTTGGCCTCAAGCCATTTCAAAACTCTGATTTTAAAAACCCTCCTCTGTTAAAAAACAAAGTGACTTCTAAAAAGGCACTCATGGCCGGCACCGCAGCTCAATAGGCTAATCCTCCACCTGCAGCACCGGCATACAGGGTTCTACTCCTGGTCAGGCACTGGATTCTGTCCCGGTTACCCCTCTTCCAGTCCAACTCTCTGCTGTGGCCCGGGAAGGCAGTGGAGGATGGCCCAAGTCCTTGGGTCCTGCACCCGCATGGGAGACCAGGAGAAGCACCTGGCTCCTGGCTTCGGATCAGCGCAGTGCACTGGCTGGAGCGCGTTGGCCGCAGCAGCCATTGGAGGGTGAACCAACGGTAAAGACCTTTCTCTCTCTCTCTCTCTCCCTCTCTCTCACTGTCCACTCTGCCTGTCAAAAATAAATAAATAAATAAAAATTAAAAAAAAATAAAAAGGCACTCATGTTATTACTGCCCCCAAGATGTTGTCAAGGCCATAAGCACTGCCTGTGTTTCCCCCATCGTCACGTGACTGTCATTTGTCAGTCTCTGCTCACATGTCGGCTCCTGCAAGAGGGCCCCTCTGGTGACCCCATGGGAAAGGGAAAGACCTTCACTTCCCTGCTCTAACATGCGCTCGCTCACTCCTTATCCTATTTGTCTTAACAGCCCTTAACACTACCTGGCCCCACTATATGAGCGAGTCTCTCTGTGTGTGTACTGTGAATGTAGTCTGTGCATGTAGTCTGTATGCAGCATATGACACGTGTGTGCATGTAGAGGAGGTATAGGTGGTGTGCATGCAGCATGCATATTGTACATAGTATATGTGTA